AAACTGTCTTTGTTATAATGTTAGCAAATGTCGTCGCTCCTCTGACGTAAAGGCGTATCTCTATTTCCACGTGAGCACTGTCCTTCGTATAACTCTATGCTTTCTAGAGCTCATGTGGAGATAGAGATATAACTATGCTTTCCAGCGGGCCGATTATACAAACTGATAGACAAAGCTATAGACAAAGACGACAAAAGGGACATGGAGGGATCCTATTGGTGGAAGCGGGTGGTGGCAATGGACAAAGGAGGTAGGTAATGGACTAACTGACGGCAACCCACCAAAGACCCGACAGTTAGTCCATCATTTTCTTCCTTAGTCTACAAGAACCGACCATGTCAACCAATAGGATCGCTCTATACTCCCTGTGTCTTCTTTGTCTATCGCTTTGTCTATCAGTTTCAATAATCGGCCAGCTGAGCTCATGTAGAGATAGAGATACGCCCTTACGTCAGAGAGACGACGATGTATGTTATGAGCGCATCTTCGAACGACAGTTGCAAACCTTTTGACAGTGCGTTGTTGTCTGACGAATGTCACTTTTCCCGACAGTACAGTACCCGTCGATTAATTATGTTAGTTAAGCCCCAACATGTTGATGGGAACGTCTCACAGCTAGATCGTCAAACCTGAATGAAACTTTCCCTTTTGTCAGGTTTCTACGTCACTTTGCACAGGAAGGGATTCAGTGATATCTTGTTTATTATTAAATCAAACCCTGAAAAGTTGCCCGCATGACATAGAAGGATTCGTTCATGAGGACTGAACTTTTGGGTTGTACCACACAGAGAAGAAAAACTTCGATTAATAGATCCGAACTCTAGCAAAAGTACTAAACTTTGGTTGGGCCAATGTAACATAATTTGTCAGTTAAAAAAGACGAAGAAAAAAAGGGAGTCTTATTTGGGTTAAGAAATACTTCGGTCTGAAGCAAAGTTGGGTTCTTATACGATACAAACGTGACTGTTAAGATAAAATCATCAAACATTAAAAGTTGAAATTTCAAAAGTTGGTCACTCACTTGCACATGTATGAAAAATTGAAATCGGTTGAACCTGTTTCGGATCATCAGCAATCATCGACTGATTCGACTGATTTTAATTTTTTAACTTTTTACTTTTTAATATTTTTATTGGCTCAATGTTTAACCCTATACTTCGGCTCTCTGGTCAAAAACTTTGGTCTGCCTCACAAGCTGAAGTTTTTTTCTTAGTGACACCATTCCGAGCACAGCAGCACTAGTCCATTGATCTTGACCTGGACAGGAATGTTTCCTGGAATTATCGGGAAGGTTTCCATGAACATTCCTGGGGGTTCATTAAAGCGAAACGATTCCTTGTGAATGTGCACATATTTGTGTGTGTTCCAGTCTAAATTTCCCGGAAAATCTCAGGGACGCTGCCCAGAAAAGTTTCCGTTCCAGGAAACGGGAAAGTTCCCACTTCGATTCTTACACGCGACCGAACCTCTCTACCAAATAGTCCGATCCTTCTTGAAGAACTTTTTCCCACGGATTCCTCACCGATCCCAATTGAATACCCAAGGACCTAGACAGAAAGTAAAGGTGCACAAGTTGGCACCTGCACAGGATTGACGACTGTTGCTCGCGGAATGGAGATGAAATTGAAAAATGGGAACGGAAATACGGGCAAACAATCAAGCTCAGAGCTCTCTGTGCGTGCAGCGTGCAGCTGAATGCAAGGATCCTCCTTTCCGTCTGATCCCATACGCGAGCGAGCATACCTCAAAATCAAATAAAACTTATTATAGGAGCTTTCGTTTCAATTTTGCCGCTATTGTTTGAATTTTCTCCCTCCCCGTTTTCTCTCGAGAGAGAACCTTCGTCATCGGCCGTGATGCGTGGAAACGTCACTTCTCACGCGCAGGAGTCCCGTCTTGCGATGCGAATATGCATCCTTGACAGGTTCGGAGGTAACCTGTATTATAAGGCTACCAGCTCAAGAATAAAGAGGTAAATTTAAAGGCTCTTGAGATGTCGGAATATTTGCCTTGAACCGAAGATAAAGAAACCAAGCCATATTTTGAAAGAGGGGAGAAGAGGTAGAAGAAGAAGAAGAAGAAGAAGAAAAAGAAGACAAAGATAAAGAAAAAGAATAATAATAATATAAGAAGGAGAAGGAGATGAAGAGGGGAAAGGGAAGGAAGAAGAGGAAGAAGGGAAAGAGGAGGAAGAGGGGAAAGAATAGGAAAAAGAAAAGAAGAACAAGAAGAAATAGAAAGAAGAAGAAGAGGAGGAGGAAGAAGAAGAAGTAGTTTTGATTCCAACTGGTCACACTTTGCCTCCTGCTGGAAATTTAAAACCGAGAAAACATGATTTGAGTTTGAAAAATAAGCGTCGAACTTCATCCGAAACATTGTGACCCACGAAGAGTAAAACTTTCAAACTTGTTTTTCTCCGTTCAATTTTAATGTTGGGCTCATCTCTATCAAAGGCACGTTTCATCCAGCTGATCCTGAGAGATTATCAAATCAATGAGGCACCATCAGACCGATTGCCCTTTCTGTATTTTCCAGCCAGAAACGTTTAAGACTGCAATTTGGTATATTTAGGTAAAAATTATAGGTTTCGATCTGGGACATGACTATGTATGTTTAGTGCGTTAAACATTTTCCTGTGAGTAGATCATCAAATCACGAAGTTTTTTTTCCTCAATTAAGATAGTAACATATTTCTTTGATTCGTTGGAAAATATACACTGGAATCGTGTTGGATCAACCCTCCGAGGCAGTGAAACGACGACGGGGACCCACACGGGGACGGGAACGCTCTCTCATTGGCGGATCCAGCAAATTGGCAACATTGTTCTCTCTCCATTTCAACCTATGGAAATGTATCGATTCTTGGAGGGGCCAGGTGCTCCGACAAAAATCGATTATTTATCATAGGTTTAAATGTAGAAAACCCGGTGTTGTCAAATTGCTAGATCCGCTTCTGCGTTCTCTAACTCATGAGCCGTGCCCACAACGTTCTTGTCATATGCCCATGGCTTATGAGTTAGCATATTTTGGCGCTTAGTTCCTTTTGATCTAATTCCAAATATCCAACTTCTTTATTTTGCCAAAAGGAATCGCCCTCTTTTACATTGTTTCTCATGCAGCTTTTACAAGTACACCCCATCTTTCCCACCCATCTCAAGTTCCTTTTAGCATAAATACGTCCAATTACAACTCCTGCAAGTGGAAAATCTCGGTGAAAATCCCTAGCCGAGGGCGCGGAAAGCTCGGATCAATCACTTAGATTGCATGCCACTATTTAATTTGCGAAAACGACGACGAGGAGTAGGAAACTCAATTTCGCAACAAAGATTCGAGGAGCAAAGCACCTCTTCGAGAGTTCCGTGAGAGGAAATACATAAAACTTTGTCCCATATATTTCCGTTGTTCTGGATGCCCCGCGCTCGCCGCGTTATTTGTAGACTAGCTTGCTTTAACGAATTCGCGAAAAGTTTTCTTTGAACATCGCGTTTACTCCTGAGTCGTGGCGGGGGGGGGGGGGGGGGGCACTCCGTCGTCTATTCCCTCCGCTTTGAAGGAGCTGCGATTTTCATAATCCGCTTGATGAAATTGGACCAGCCATTCATACTCCGGTCCTGGATTTGATTCGCAGAAAGCATTTTGCTCAATGAAGACGAGTAAATTAATATCTTACCAGACGCCCCCGCCCCCCTCGACCGCTTTTCCGTGCTAAAGAAAAACGCCGTATGCGTATTTGGATGTTGCCAAATTTTCTCCCCAAAAATATTAATTTCTAAAGAAAGTTACGGATTTTTTTCTTCGAAATTTTCGGATATTTTAGATTAAATGGGGAACTAAATTATCTGAAAAATCTGAAGAGGAATATTTATAAACTTACCCGAAAATTCGAGATTTGTCCAATGAGATTTGGCAATATCTGGAGGCTCATACGGCGTTCCTCCTCAAGACGGCAGAGTTGGTCCTGTTGCTGCGGGCTTTGTCCCCGCGGAAAGTGGGAAAAACCTGCACCGCGCGTTTTCTCTTTACGACCGCCAATATTTTCCGTTTCGGTTCGCGATTGTCAACGTCCTTCTCGCCGCCGTCTGTCGTCTGTCCTTCCTCGCTCTGATATTTCCGTTTTCCAGAGTGCCTTTGTGCGCCTGCAAAGCGGCTTTAACGCCTCCGACAAGCCCCCCCTTCCCCCCACCCCCCCTATTTGACGCTTCACTTTGCCGGATTTTCCACTCCTCTGCTCGCGCGCTAAAATGAAGAAGTTAGCCTCGAGAGTTCCGGAGCGAAATCGACTTATGAAAACCTCCGTTTGCGCAGCATCTTTTTATGGATTAAGTACTTTGTCGAAACTCCGCGACTCCATCGTGAAAAGAAAGTAATAGAGGCGGCGCTTTGAGGACGTATTTTTCAGTCGGGATTCGAATCGAAATTAGGTTTCCTCTGCGGTCTTTTTGAATGTGTATTTCCTGGAATTTATGCGCGGTTCCGCGGTTGGAAATGGACGATCTGGGGAGTTTTCTCCGATGAATGGTATGACCTAGTAATATTTCAAATTATACGGAGTGCTGATGGAGTGATGAGGTAAATTTCAAATGGGGGAAGTTTTTCGAACTCACGAGTGGATCTGCGGAACCAGATTGTACTCGGCCTTAATTCCTGAGAAAAATAACCTGGATCATGGATGTGCCAATCCCTTGATGTCTACGGGCAGTGAAAGACCGTCTGTAGATGGCGACAGATAGGTCCTAACGGAATGTAAGCCAAACCAGCGGAAAAAGAGAGGGAGGGAGAGAGAGAGGGGAAGCGGGAGAGAGAGAGAGAGAGAAAAGTTTTTCGAATGACAGAAAGAGTGTTTGGTCGCAGTTTGCGTTTGAAAAATGTCTGAAATAACCTTCAAAAGCAAAAGTTTTTTTTTTTTAATTTTTAACATCATGTTTAGTTATTAATAATATTAAATTTAATAACGAAGATGAGAAAATAATTATAATCTGTATTCTCCTTTTCTGTTTCAGCCGAACGATGAGGACAAATATCGAGAGTTCCGCATCAGAAAAAATAGGTAAGCGGTTTTATACCCCGCATTTATTTTTTTTAAATTTTTTTACATTTTTGTCATGGCGTAAAGCGATATGAAGTTGGGCGATATTAATTGCCGCTTCGGCTTGTGTCTACAAGGTAGGCCAAAGAACATCTTGCCACCATATTCCTACTACCTACTATTTTATCACGATCGCAGCGCGTCCAATTGCGATGATTGAAAGACCGTACGTAAACTTATTCAGTCCTTTGTATTGCTTTTTAAAACTGCAGTTTTGGTGCTTTTACTATTTTAGTTGTAACCCTTAACTTTTGGAGAAAATTGCAAAATAAGCAAAAGGTCACACTGAACGATTACTGCTACTCAAAAAAACGGTGATTTTTCACTGCTATTTCGATCGCGGTGACATGCCTAGTCCGAGTAAGCGTGCCATTTTACGACGATACCACTATTCGACCACGTGGGAGCCCATATTGCCTACACTAATAATTGAAGGCGAACTGACATGGCGTTAAAGTGACCTCTTCCCATACGCTGCCCACACCCCACACCCAGGGCCGGATTAAGGGGGTGGCTGCCATGGGCCGCGGCCCATGCGTCTACATCTATAGGGGGCGGAAAATTTTTGAAGGCGTAAAAAGGTTTACGAAACTTAAATTCCGCGCAAAGCTCCGTGAACTTTTGCTAGTAGTGTTGACAGGGCTTTCCCAAAAAATGTATTCAACACCAGTAAACGCGTCTTATGCACCCCTCCCCCGCTGGCACGTTAATTTGATGGTTTTCATTGATGTTTCAAAACGAATGAGAAGGGGGCGGCAAAATACAGGCGGCCCATGGGCGGCAAGTAGGTAAATCCGGCCCTGCCTACATCGAAAATTGTAGGCAAACCGTGGATGCGTTAGATTCACCTCTAAACGTTCGGTAAAAGGCAGTGTTTTTTTTTTGTTTGTTTGTTTGTTTGTTTGTTTGTTTGTTTGTTTGTTTGTTTATTTGCTTTCAAAATAAACGTAACGGGTAGGGACAGGGTGATACCTGATACCACTGTTCGGTCACGTTAAAGCCCACACTGCCCACATCTCCTTAAAGGCGCTGCACTGAAAATTTAAATTAAAGTGTCAATGTAATAATACGAAAATATTTTAATGTTTATTTCGAGGAAGCTGATATCTTACGGTAATATGACTATGTGGTCACATTTGAGAGCTCTTAATGCTGTGCGGGGCCCATAAGTATTCAGGAATCAATACCCAAAATTTTCCCATTACTTTTCAAATTACTTTTACCAGTTACCTTTCCTTTTATTTTTTAACAAAGAAGTTTACTCGTACACTGGAAAAAAAACACATTGTATCTAGAGTCCAGACTCTTAAAAACATCGACAAGAAAAAATACTCTTGATTCAATCAGATTTAAGCTTAGATCAAGAACCAAGCCTCTTAATTTGAGCGGATCTCCTTTTGATTTAAGCTCAAATCCGATTGAATCAAGAGTCCTTTTTCTTGCCAATGTTTTCAAGAGTCTGGAATCTAGATTCAATGTCTTTTTTTTTCCAGTGTAACTTTATCGGCCGAGTAAAGTCATATTTGTGATTAATGATCAACGTTTTTGATGATCAGAAAAAGGTTAAGCAATTTTATGTTTGTTTATGAATAAAAGGGTGACTGTAAAAAAACGTGCTAGTTGTTGTATTCTGTCGGCTTTTCTGCCCTCAGTTTCCAGATATCACATGAATAGGATTTAAAATCCCTTTTGATTTCGGAAAATTAACGTGGCAAATGTGCGATCGAGCCCTGGAGCCTTTTTACGAGGCCTGACGGGCTTTTTGGCAAGACCATAAAACGCCGGGGAACGAATCCATGCTGCGATAAGCACATTATACGATACCAAACGGGAAAATATAGGTCAGTAGCATTGAATGGATTGGACCCCGGGTAGTTTGTTCATACTCGGTAACACATTAAAAGCTATCGCACTTCCTGTTCAGCTTCCTTGTCCGTCGTAGCATGCCCCGGTGGTTCCATTCAATTGGTTCAGGAGCACAACCAGCAATGTTTTAACTCACCTCTCGTAAGGTTGTAACTACTTACATATTTTCCATTCAATTGGTATGTCTGTATAGTTGCTAAAACACAGCGTGGCTGCTCAGACGTTCAATTTGCCGAATGAACACACTGGGAAAAAAAAAACACATTGGATCTTGAGTCCAGACTCTTAAAAACATCGACAAGAAAAAATTCTCTTGATTCAATCAGGCTTAAATAAAAAACCAAGCCTCTTAATTTGAGCGGATTTCCTTTTGATTTAAGCAAAAATCTGATTGAATCAAGAGTATTTTTTCTTGTCAATGTTTTCAAGAGTCTGGACTCTAGATCCAATGTGGTTTTTTTTTCCAGTGCACGCTGCGTAGCGTTGACCCTTGACTTGCGAGCATATTATTCACTCTTCTAAAAATGTAAATGTAGAAATTGAGAAACTTGTAAATATTCAATCCTCTCCGATTTTTTCTGGGACCTTAAATGCTGTCTTAATTAAATGATCATGACAATTTCGAGGAAAATTATTATCAGATTTTTGCAGAAATAAATACTCCATCTGGGAAAAATTCGCCACAGTTGATTGTTTGTTGATACCTGTTCTATTAGTTCTCGAGTTTAGCGCAATAAAACCAGTAAGTTCTTCTTTCTATTCTTCATTTTTTGCAAAACAGTCGAATAGTCTGAATTTTCGGCAAAGGTGCATGGCTTAAAATGAAATTTGACAAAATAAAAATTCCTTTAAAAAAACTCTTTGAAAAGTTGTATTCCTTCATAAGTTCCCCAGTTCCTTTGACCGCCGCTCACTCTTAATAACAATACGCGTACGTATCAATCTTCTGAACGAATTAATTTTCGAAAAAAATATATATTTTCAAAATAAATTTTATAAATACCGCTCCTATAAAGAGTATCCCTTTATTTGCTCTTTTGGTTGCACACACACTTAGCAACATTTTAACCCATTGACTTATAATTTAATTTGACCCTGCCGGGCCAGGAATTACGATTTAATTTGGCGAAAATCAGCAACTTTGAACACTTCAAAATCATCCAGAAATTATTTTTCAAAGGGTGAAAATTGACAAAATAAGCATTCACAATACAAAGTTTTAGAAAAATTGTGAAAAATTTAAACACAATGATTTTTTTATGTGGTTTATAGCTGTCAAAATCGCAAAAATCGCAAAATCAGCGAAAATCAGAAAATTTTTAGGTTATTTCATGTGCAAACGCACAGTAATATGAAAATACCGTAACAAAACAAGAAATTACCGTACACAATAAGTCATAGGGTGGCCACACTACTCTTATAAACATTGATGAGAACGCAATCTACCGGAGAATTGCCGAAATAACGCAAACAATCAGCGGACGGCTCTGAGCCGTCATTTCAGAGCTGGCCCAGCGCTGCGATGACGGCTGGGAGCCGTCATTTTAAGTCAATGGGTTAAGGCCAGGAATTCGATTCAAACGAACTAGCGATCAGTTTCTTTCGTGGGTCAACACATTTCAACAAGCAACAACACATAATGCAACATGCGCTTCAATCTACGTACATCCATGCCTATCTCTCTAGGCACGTACACTCAGACTAAGAAACGTGTTAACAGGTGGAAATTTAGATCCCTAAAGAATACCTGTAAAAGAACTTAAATGATCCGTGACACACTCCGAAGGAAACTTAGAATTGGACGCATTTATGCTAAAAGAAACGATATGCATGTAAGATTTGCGTGAGACATAGTTCCTCTTAGCATAAATACGTCCAATTTTAACACGCTCTACGATCACTGCTCGTGCTTACTGAAGCTTACTGATGCTTACTGGTGAGGCAAAGCCGCAAGTATTTGTATCTCGTTAGTGGATAATGCTCAGCTCTGAAAGAAAAAAGAAAGAGGTGTGTGTTACTTTTTGGTTACGCTAGACGTATTTCAGTGAATAATTATGGGTCATAAATCAGTGATAAAATCATATTTCCTGTTTGAAAACCGCAAAAAATATGAAACGCCTGACGCTGTAAGCACGAGAAACGTCTGCATTAGTTTTTTTTCAATTTTTTTGACCGCGGGTTAGGCAGGGGTGCAGAAAATACAAAATCCGGATCCCGCAAAAATCAGAGAAGTCGCCCGAATTAAAGTAAGCTTCAATTTTTGTACAAAATTATCAGAACCACTTTCACCTTTTATAGGACCTTTTGTTCTTACCGTAGACCCTGCGCGAGAACTTAAATTCAAAACTATTTTTTTTTTCTTCTTTTTTTTTCTTTTTTTTCTTTTATCGTAGACCATACAAGAAGTGCTATATCTAAGGGAAACTCAACTTTTGACGACGATGTTCTTTAAATTTATCATGAGTATAAAGTTGTATATCTAGTGAGTCCTGATAGTTAAAAATGGTCTTGAACCTTTAAAACTTTATTTTCCACAAATTTAAGTTCTCTTTGAGAGAGTCCTTCTTTGAGAAAATGCTTTATGATATTTTCGAAACTTTCAGGACTCTTTTCACGAATTGTGGCTAGTTTTTATCACAATTTTAAGGGTGTTTTTTTTTAATCGTCTTCAATGTCAAAATGTTTCTAGCTTTTTTTGAGGAAAGAAAAGGAGAGGGAAAAAATCGTTATCTCTTTTCCTGAATGTATGCCAAATTTACACTCTTTAAAGCGTTTATCCTAAGAAACCAACGTATAATTGGAAATCGGTTCTCAAAAACGAGATCAGTGGTCCACATTGAACGCTGGTGCGCTGTTGCGGAACGAATTGCTCAAGTTCTACTCAATCTGATGAATTATTTTCTTGGTGTGCCATCAAAACCAATACCAAATACCAATATGTACAATTTTTTTGCTTCGTCTTGATCAGGTTTAGTTCTCTGCTTCAAATTCGATGCCCCTCCCCCCTCCCCTCTTTTGCAACTCTGAAAATCAATAAGTTGCCTCTTTCTTTCTCCCCTGTACTCTTTCTCTTTTGCAAACATCCAGGAGGTTAG